AAACTGCCCACACCGGTTGAACGTCATTGGTTGGCCTAGTGTGAAGATTCGTATAAGTCGTATTCGGATTGGTAGATAAGTCGTGTGATCGAAAAGACAGACACCCAAGGTCATAACAGTGGCTATGATGTGAACAGAAAAACAAGAAGCCTTGACAAAATACGGAATCTATTTTTGGGAACTTTATTTCATTTCATCCAAAGCTTGTAAAACATTGGCATTTATTTTTGTCCCTAATCTATTCTACAAAAAATAAGCTTTCGCTTGATGTATGATTCACTGCTATAGCCCTTTTTGTTCCAAAGCTATTGTAATTGAAACGTGATTACTTTTTTCCTGTATTTTCTACGTTAATCTCCAGTATTGGATATAATTGTACTTTCTTAATTATTGTACGATGTGGTCGGGTTAGTCATCTATTTATTCATGTACCTTTTAATCGTTGAATTCATGAGCTGATTGTGTTTTGAAAATAGAACTACATATTTAAGTTCATACTGGTAGATTAAACGATATTTCCAAATTTTGAATTTTAACTTAATTTTCTTGGCTGACTATTAAGAATGTCAAAAAATCAACACATAGAACTTTCTATCCAAATTTCATTGATCAAAGTTATCATACATGTTGAAGACAACAGTAAAATATATGGGAAATAAACGGGAAAATAATTAGATCTAATATATTCCACTGATTAGTATGAATAAAAATGCCCTGGTACGGCCGAGTGTGGGAAGAGTCAGCTCTCCATCTCCAAATGCTCACACATGGCCACGAGCATATAATCACTGACAGGGAAGTCCTACTAACTGCATTCTTGTAGTGTTGTTTGCGAAATTAAGAAGATGAAAAGCGAATGTCTAGAGCTTAAGGTGGGTTGGTAGACACGGAGATTTCACCTAGGGGAGTTAGAAAACCCTGATTCCAAACCAATGGTGAACATGGACTACAGGATCCTGAAAGAACATATGGTGTATGAACCTATTGTCAGTCACCGGCCACCATGGAACTGCTTCTTCTAACGTCGCTCCACTGCCTTGTGGATTAGACCCTCTAGGTCAAAAGCTCGGGGGTGTAGCCCTCTGAGAAAACCACCTGCTTCAGTTTGAGCGCCCTCACACAAATCATTTGATTTGTGTGGCGCATATGTATTCGGTTCCCCTTTATACCAATGCTAATATGTTTAAATAAATTAGCATATGTAAGTTGTTACTTAAAACTATTTTCTGATTATATTAATTCGATAAATGTAGTTCAGTTGATCACACTGTTCAGTTGTAAAGGTACTTACTTATTTACTTGATAACGAATCAAATATTTTCTACCATAAAGCCATCCTCATAACCTAAATGTTTGGATTAAACTAAAAACTTAAATGTTTATAGTTGTAGCTTTTTATCAAGCAGAGTTTATTAACCTTCCCGTTTATCGAACAAAGCATGAAGAAAATCGATTAGGTAAACCATCAGATTATAAGTTCCATAGATTATTTCTAGGTTAATCTGATCATTATTGATTTTTGCACATTTTTCTACTTTAACTTTTCATGGTCAGTAGGTTGATTCGGCTAGCACACACGTGTATCACGTATGGCCATCTTAACCATACAAAGCAAGAAGAAAAACACATTATAAAAGGCTGGCTGATTAATGGGACGTGCAGTAATCCATATAACTCACCAACTGACTCAATTGATTTATTCGTGATGATCTTTGTTCGATATAACTAATCTAATTATGACCGTCTACCAACTACTGTGATGAACGATTTGATCTATGATATTAGACATGAAAATAAGGAAGTTAAATGCAATAATGAATTGGCAAAATAATACTCTGTCATGCTGATGAATGCTATCTAGCACGAAACATAAGATCATGGTTCCCTACTACTATCTTTAACATTTGAAATCGGCAAAGAACACTGACTGATATTGGCATGCTGGGGCCAGGTTCATTTTAGAAAAAAATAGAACAGTATGAGAACTTAGAAGGTATCAAACTGTTCATTTTCCAGTAATCGATTTGTGTAGAGGTATTAGTTTTAAAATATACTAGCAATCAAGGGCTAGACTATAATTTATGGATGAACTTTGAACGAATCTTGAGATATATTAGCCAATCAGAAAAGTCAGTGTAGAGTAAAAATAATTACAGTGGATGCATTTCTTTTACATGGTTCAAAAACTTGTTAAGGTTAGAAAGAGGTTCAGAGGTTCTAAATTTGTGATGCATAGGGTAAAGAAAATAATATGTATGGCCTCCAGAGCCATGATAATGTTGCGAAAATTCTTTCAGCCACTACATCATAGCTTCAATATTGTTTGTGTGCACTCCAGTTGTGTAAGCTTGTTATTTTTATTACGCATATATCTCTACAATACTCATACCACTTAACAGCCGAAGCTTCAGTGAAATCTGAAAATGTGGCAGCCAATGTTACTGGTGCTTTTGTTATACGGATCGTAACAATTATTATAACTTGCTTTAGTCTCGATCTGGATCAAGGGGAAAAATTTTTCTATTCTAGCAGAACTTCCTAATACTCCCATTTGTTGTACCCGCTCAATGATCACGTTTTCTGTAAAATCCGCTATGAACCGATCGTACGTGAGCATTAGGTATTGAGATCGGCGCCGCGTACTTGAAATCCATCAAACGCTTTTGATTAGCTAGTCCATAAATTATATTCTCGCCACAAGAAGTCATTGACGTTACTTAATACATTATCTTCAAAACTGATTCACTTATAAAAAACTTGTCAACCAAGTAGTATAAGATCTGGAATAATATTGAGTAAAGTAACTCAGTTTTACAATGTTCGTTTCAGTTTGTAACATACTTATACAAGTCCGTTTACTTTCAATTACTGTTTTTCGGAATCATAATAACAAATTTAAATGGAGAGTTTTGTTTGAGTTCGGGAACAGTGTCACAAAGAAAAGAAATACCTAACATATTAGGATAGAATAAGGTCGACTAAGGACAAATACTCCGTACATTTAAAATTAATGACCAAGATATTTTAAAACCATGTACATATCTGTTAACGAAATTAAGACAGATTTATTGTGTGATAACTCAAGGAGACTAATTGCTTACCCTTCATATTATCAATCAATTAAAAAATCTCGTTGCTAAATAGTTTAGAGTTGATTGACCATATCACTGAGTCACAAATCCAACAAATGTATCAGAACTTAATGTTCAATAATAACAATAATTTTAATTTAAATACGATGATGAGTTCACACAACGTACACGCTAAGTTTAAAGTGATAGTGTGAAGTATGCTACATATGTTTGCAAATATAAGTAGTATGTAGCATAATCGCAATAGTACTCTAATAATAGCAAATAAGTAGGCCAATAAAACCACTCACCACAAAGATGAAACAACAATAACTTCGCTCGGTGTAAAACAACTATACGTATATCATCGATTGATTCTGTAAATATATACAGCCGTTTAAATAAATTCTCGCCTCAGTTGTTTAAAGGTTTTTCGTTGACATTATCAGATCATTTACTCGTTCAAACTCAAACACTATCGACCTCGAATTGACTATAATCGAAAATACGATGTAATGGAAATTTCTCGGATGCAACATTAGATTATCGACTATCAAGCTTATTATACAATATTTCTAATGTCTCCTGTTAGAGATAAAGTGATCCCGATTATTCCGTGTGAAGTCTAAGTTAACTTAAGTAATCAGTCCAATATACATGGATCGAATGAAGGAATTGAACACAACCTAAGGTACTATGAAAGAGAATAGAGCGTTTCGCAATTGAGTTCATTTTATGTTTGAAAATAATTTCCGTTCATGATTCAGTTGTAAGGCTCTGGATTTTCATGTTGTTGACGTTAAGGATTGCAACTTATCAATCTATTTTGTCATGTGATATATGAGCGGATCGCCTAGATATTGCTATTAGTCGCAAGCATTTCTTATGTGAAGTTGGATGATAAAAGTAGCAGTGGAATCCAGGTCGCGCGCCTCGTCTTTCCAGAGACTCGTCAGTTGAATGTAAACTACCATTCGGTTTTTAGTCATATCGAATCCTAAACATATTATTCGTGTTTCTAGTTAAAAAACTAATTGCTTGATTGTTAATGTAAATCGATATTGCCCGTACTACATAATCAACAATACGTTGAACAAAACAAACTCCACCTATTACTTAGTGTCTATAAAAGGCATAAACAACCATGTAGTGTGAAAATACGTCGTTCGGTTAAACAAAACCATTGTAACAACAAACGCCGATTTTTTTCACATCCACACACATACATTGTCTCACCTTTAATTTCAATAACATGACATTAGCATGATCCGAATTGTTTTAATTGTAATAATAAATATTTTCGCTTCTTCCTCTGTATTATATGAACTTAAGTGAACTTAACTAGGTTATTTATTCACTTGCTCACTAATGAAACGATTAGCAATGACACGTCGAAAATTCAATTTTATACTCAGTAGGACATAACAAATAGATTCAATTGACTCATGATTTCAATTATTAAAATTACTTTAATATCCACAAAAACTCCTTCTGATATTAATCAACATATGCTCACTAGTGACTGACTTCAAGACGTATTTCCTGGAGTTCTAATGAGAAGCAGTGACCAGTGGAGTACAACCGAGTTTGTTCTGAGATATTAACTCACTGAAGACAATGATGGATTGGTTGAAGTTAAACATTAAAACAATTGGATGCCGGTCGGCTCAGTGGTCTACAGGTTAAGTGTTCGCGTGAGAGACTGATAGGTCCTGGGTTCGAATGTCACAAGGCGGCGGGATCGTGGATGAAACGGCCGTCCAAGTTTTCCATGGTGATCTAGCCTCGATTGACTCATGACCTCAACTATTGAAATAGATTATTATTATTATAAGCAATCCACCTAATACACAATTTATTTGAAATTATCAAGTCAAACCCTGGTATCGATACTTACAAAACACACACACCCACAAACATACAATCCTGTGATATCAAAACAAATTTATTTGAAAGCGATGTCGAAGAATTCGACGAAGCTAATAGTTACATCAAAATACAATAGATTAACAGAAAACAAGAGAACCAAGAAAAAAACCTTAAAGGAACAGACTGGAAGAAGAATTCGATCAAACAAAATCAAACAAGATCACAGTTTATGCATCGGTTATTAAACACAGGTCATTTTTTGACCCTTTTTTACACGATACATGCATAATGATATACCACTCGATAGTTTCTCTATAAATTCTTATCCAAAACAAACATGGTTTTTATACACAAATGATATATGAGAGAACAATCAGAAAACAAAATATGGAGAATGAATATTGAACAAAATTAATTAGATGTAGTATAACCTGTAAGAGAACAAGAAATCGATTAAACAATTAAAAGTTAATTTTATGTAGTATATAGTATAGTATATGCAAATGTATACAGGTTATGTGGACAATCGTTTCACTTTGTTGTTTCTACTGAGCTTAGTTTATATGTTAGATCATTGTTTTCGTACTTTTCCTCATATTCGATAGTGATCTTATTTAAATATGAATGAGAGCAGATGGTATAGTTATGAGATGAAACTATTATGTAATATGAGTAGCATATTGAAGTAATCACTTCTATAACTTACGTGAGTTTCATGCATACTACGATTTTAAAAAAGGATATGTTCTCAATAGTAAGAATTTACTGAATGCTTAGTATAACCGTTAATTAATTTGATTCTGAACCAATAATGTTCCAATTTAGAACCTTGATACAACTACTACCGTCTCAGTAGTTGGGTAGCATCTATTCGTTTTTTTTTACTAATTAAGTGTGGTTATGGGATGTTAACTGATATCATAAAAGCTTTTTACAAAGTTTAAGATTTTTATTCTCTTCATAATAATTTCTCTATTTGAGTTAATACATTTCATTATTTTACCATGTAGTCCATTTTGTATTTCGTTGAACAAAAGTAAATTGTAAAACGTAATGTATGATGAGTAAAATGATCTAGTGTGTTGATTCAATTATTCGAAATCTAATACCAGAAGGGGTTTTCGTGCATATTATAGTAATTTCAATAGTTGAGATTATGAGTCAATTGAAGCTGGACCACCACGGAAAAACCTATTGTGGAATTCCTCAGCAGTGCGCATCACGATCCCACCGCCAGTGGAGTTCAACCGGGTCTGTTGTGAGATAGTAACTCACTGAAGAAAATGGTAGATCTGTCGATCGATTTCGTGGATTAGTTGAAATTAGACATTAACAACATTCGATGCCGGCAAGTTCAGTGGTTTAGAGGTTAAGCGCTCGCGCGCAAAACTAATAAGTCCTGGGTTTGAGTCTCGCGAGGCGAGATCGTGGATGCGTACTGCTGAGGAGCTCCATACTATGACGAATCGGCCGTCCAGTGCTTCCAGGTTTTCCATGGGGGTCTAGCTTCAATCGACTCATGATCTCAACTATTGATGTTCTAAATTTCGTAAAATATAATTTTCATGATCTCAGTTTGTTCATTAATTAGACAAAGTAAAGATATTTAAACTTTCTTTATTAATGAGTGGAAAAAAAGCCAGAACATTTATATCTGACTAACTTTAAGGTAGTTAATGCTTAAGTACATAATGATTGGTAGCTCAGTTTGTGTATTTATTGGAAAGAGCAATATATCTATTAATGGGATTCATTCTATACGTTTCACTATAAAGCTTTACATTGGAAACTTAATCAGTAAACTATGTTGCATTAAAAGATGTTAACTAGTCAAATGACAGTAACTGAATACAATAAATGATTTAGCATCAATCGAGATTGTGATTTTGAAAATAATCACTTTTCAGTTCCCTAATAATCGATAGCCATTTAACTAGAGAATCGTCTAATTCGCGATACTTAATAAATGTAAATAATGAAACATACCAGGAAATATGTTAAGTGAAATGTTTGGATGAACCTTTACTAGGTGTATTGAGTCGGCCACGGTTATTCAGACGAGATTTCCCTGAAGCTCGATGGTGAATCCGACGACGTGTACGCGATAGATGTGGTAGATTTTCAGGAGGTAGTACACGATAAATTCTTACAAGCCAATGTTTCGATGTAAAAGCTTCCTCTAGGTAATCTAATTCAAAATTTTACGACCAATTTCAGATCCTCTAGTACGATCAAATCCAAGTGGTGTTCGCATATCTAAACGAACTTCACCAAACCGATAATAGCTTAATTTATACATTAAACAATTAAGCATCGTCTCAGAAGCACTTTTATCTATACGATAATCACCCTAAAAAGAAAAAGAAAACAAAAAACCAACATAACCATTGAATTATGATCAAACAGGCAGGGTTAAAATTTAGAACTTTCTTAGTAAATATGGGTCAGTGGGTTTTAGTGAAAGAGTCCTATGATACGGCAAAACAATAAAACCATCACTACAAGCCCGACGGAAATACATTCAACTTTTCCCAGAGGGTAGTATTGTCAAAGTTAGAATTACTGTGGTAACATCTTTAAGATAAGGTGACGTAATAAGTTATGAATAATTGCACTATCTCATGATTGAATTTATAACCAGTAAGTGGTTCAGAATATAGTATATAAAAGTTTATGACACTGGCAACCGCCCCTCTGGAGTTACTGATATTCCCTAACCTGGGTAAAGAACGACTGTGGGTAGCGTTAGCGATTCCAGCTCATAAAAAAGAACCACGCTAAAAGAAACACCAGCCAGAGTGAAGCAATTAAACTTTTCCCTGAGAGACGAAGGGTCTGCATATGGAACAGTTATAACGGCTTATATTTGAAGCCAGAAGTCACCAGGCCGACGACCCTTCTAACTGTCAGAGCAACAATAAATGCAGAGAAATAGAATATCCCAACAGTGTGGAAGACCGAAAGGGCATTCAAACAGTCACAAACATGAGAAGACACAACTTCGAAGCAAAAGCAAGAGATGGGACAAAGAAAACATGACTTTAGGAAATGGAGGCAGATATTAAGACCATGAATAGAATTCGGCAACAACTAGAAAAGAGAGCTCAAGATAGAGTTGTTTGGAGATGACTGCTCGACGGATTACGCTACAAGAAGAGTAAGTAAAGTAGAATAAGTTTATACCTAATCAACTATTGTTGAGAGAGAAGCATAGATCCATGTTTCGACCATTTGCATAACTTGATGGAGACAAACAGACTTATTATCTGGTGCAGACTAATCAAGGTCCTCATGGATTTCCAAATGTTTAAAAGATGTTTTGGTATGTTAAACCAATTTACTTATGCCAACCAGCCAATCAGTCAACCTGAAGTATTCACTTAAAGGGAGAAGCACTAATATCACATATGGCTTCCACTTTACAACTAGCTTGTTATATGACGATTCTTCACAATATATAATAACGTAGAGTAGCGTATATTATGATTGTCTTTACTGTATGTAAAAGCTAACAACTTACTGTTGAAGTTAGAAAGTCTCTTTCACGAATTTCATTAGGATGTTCACCGCCACCAATACGCACCATCCATAAGAATTTATTAATATCATCACCACTGTAACCAATGTAACCACCGAATATGACCAGCACGTAATCCACATCTAAACTTTGAATAGTCTAAAGGGAAACCACGTAACAGGGAAAGAAGTAAAAGAAAAATGGTATTATTCACACATAATAAAACCAGCACAGCATGTGAATTCATGACTAAAGATTTGATTAATATGGACAAAGTGCTTCTTGAAATTATGGACTCGTACAGTTTTTGAAGAACTATGGAAGTGAAAAACAACAATCGTCTTAGTCATAGACGTTTAAATTATGATATATTTGGCAAAAAACAGATCTTAAATATTTCTAGATATTTAAATAACTAACTTATTATGCATCGGTCAAGAGCATTTGTAAATTTTGAATACGAAATCTCTCTTAAACGATTAACTAATATGATGATAAGATTGTAATATCTATCGATGAATAATGAAAAAGATATTTCACCGAGAATCGATTGAAAATAGAAGATAAAAGACTAGTGAATGTGATATTTATCACAGTATTTATAATTTCTGGATTCGATAGAAGGAATTCGAAGTACAGCAGTGATATGAAATTTTACACTAGACGATAAGGTAGTTGACCTGTACTAAGTTCTTAATGGCCTATTAAAACGAGACAAAAAAACAACAACTGATTAATTGTCAACAACACAAATTTATTATTTACATTCAACAGTATATTTTTGCATAATTCTTTCACCCAAAATGTGATCATGTTGAATAGATCCACCAAACAGAAAGAAAAAATTGAGTTTAATTATTCAACTTACTTTATAGGCTTCTGATTCATTTGATGCCATAGCTTTACCAACTAATGCGATATGACTATTATTCCATGTGTTATTATCAACTAGAGTAGTGCGGTTACCCATTCCTGCTATTTGATATCCATAATCCCACCATGACATAACTCGAGCATTTTCTTTTGTATTTTGCCATAACCAGAAATAAGCCTCACTAATAATATAAGAGAAAAAATTTATTATTGTTGACGATTAAAAAAATATATATCTGTTGGATTGTTCGGTACTTGAACATCAAAGAGTGAAAGGTAAGCTCTAAATATTGTTTACACAACCAAGTAGTATTAAGTATCATTAAGTGTCTCTACATAGTGAATACAACTTCTACGTAACTAATTAGTTCCCTTTTTTCACTTTACTATTTTGGTAGTTATAAAATGTAATAGATGAATTCATGAATAGAAAATTACCAAAAGTTTCAATCAAATTTTAAAATGTACCCGCCTATGTGCAAAATTTTGATTAGCCTTAAAGTTAACTATACCTTTTAGAATAATATAACACTTTAAAATTATTATCAGAATGGGTTTTGTGGAGATTTTTAGAAACTACACAAGTTGTAATCATGAGCCAATTGAACCTAGACCACCATGGAAAACCTGGAAGCACTGGACGGCCGTTTCGTCCTAGTATGGGACTGACTGAAGGCAATGGTGTACGGTGGCGCAACTTCGTGGATTGGTTGAAGTTAGACATTAACACCGTTGGATGCCAGCAGGCTCAGTGGTCTAATGGTTAAGTGCTCGCGCGCGAAGCCAGTAGGTCCTGGGTTCGAACCCCGCGGGGGCGGGTCCGTGGATGCGCACTGCTGAGGAGTCCCATACTAGGACGAAACGGCCGTCCAGTGCTTCCAGGTTTTCCATGGTGGTCTAGCTTCAATTGGCTCATGATTTCAACTTGTGGAACTTTAAAATTATGTTAAAATCACTAGTTGCAAAAAAGGTATTATTCATTTAGGGATTAATTAAACGAACGATCCCCACAGATTTCGAAGTAAGTACATAAATGGATTACAAGTCAAAATTAAAAAATTCAAGCGTACTACAATGTTATAAGATTTATCATTAAATGTTCTTTTGTGAAGTTTTATTGTTGAATAACGGATTATTTAAAAAAGTTATATTTCATTGTGAAGCTGTAATGAAGACCTGTTATCAACAACACGATCTGAATAACTTTAAATTATATCCTATAATTCAACGATAAAATTCGACTCAAATGCCCTGGTACGGCCGAGTGTCGGAAGAGTCAGCTCTCCATTTCCAAATACTCTCAAGTGGCCACTTGTACATAACCACTGACAGGGAAGTCCTACTCACTGCATTCTTGTGTGTGTGCAAAATTAAGAGGATGTTCAGCGCTTTAACTAGGTTCGTGGACACGGAGATCCCACCTAGGAGAGTTGGAAAACCCTGATTCCAAACCAATGGTGAACATGGACTACAGGATCCTGAAAGAACAAATGGCGTATGAACCCATTGTCAGTCACCAGCTACCATGGAACTGCATCTCCTAACGTCGTTCCACTGTCTTGTGGATTAGACCTATAGGTCAAAGGCTCGGGGTGTGGCCTCCTGAGAAAACCACCTGCTTCGGTTTCGGCGCCCTCACACAAATCAAATGATTTGTGTGGCGCATATCTATTTGGTGCCTCCTTGAACCAATGTTTATGTGTTTAAATAAAAATAACGATAAAATTGATACAAACGAATTATAATGATTGAAACACTTTTTACTTGAAACTAGGAGCTACCCATGGAAAAACACAAAAAAAATAATAGAAGCTAGTATGTATAGATTTATCTGTTAATGGATTGTAGTTCACGATCGCTCAACTATTTATTAAACCATTAGTGTTTCTATTGAAAGACATCAAAAATCCAGACATATTCTATTGTTTTTATGTGAGCGACATCGATTAGTTGAAATTCTAATCATATTAGAATGCATCTCGGTAGAAATAACCAACAATTATCCCGAAAGAAGACAATACAATGCACTACTGTATGATGATATGTAGCTCGTCTTTATGTATGTTAGCTTGGATAAGAAATTAATGTTGACAAAATACTTACTGGATAGTTTTTAGGTAGTATAAGCTATTGAATAAAATTTTATTTTTGAAATTTCGGCGTGATCGTAGTGACTGCTTTTAGGCACTTTGTGAAATGAGTTGTAATATTTTCTGTTGCATCCATTTGATCCCAGTAGTGCTAGTTGACTGTCCCTTGCACTTTTAAAATAATGAACCTCAACTTGGTGTCTAATGATGAAGTTTTCACAATTGATTGATCACTGGGTAGTGATCAATGTCATGCTTGTCTAGTCCTTATTAGTGCAGATCGAATGCTATCGATCATGTTGCAATGTGGCCACCAGTCTAGGTGACTCGACACTGCGGGGACTATGTATTGAGATTAAATGGTGGTGGCTCGGATAGCTCAGTGGTAACGTCTCTGACTGTGAAGCTGGGTGACATGAGATCGAATCTGCCAGGGAACACCAGTTCCCTCAAGATTACGGATACACCTTGCTGACGAGTGCCAAGTAGCACGAAACCCGGGTCCAGGGTTTCCTGTTGACTACCTCCAACCACCATCTAATGAAGTTTTCAAACGGATACGAAAAGCTTCGTTACATTGATCAGTGGGATATGTGGTGGGTTTAGAAATTCACTATATTCTTTTACATCAGATCGTTAGGTTAAACGATATATGAAAACAAAGTATTTTATTATTAACAGATAAGCTTACTTGCATAATTAACTCTGGTAAAATAAGTGGACTAAATAACAGAGCTATACATATAAAAGATGTTGGTGACATTGCTTACCGGAAATCATCCAGGATATATCGAGATCCATCTTTACCATATGAAGCCAATACAATAGACGGGCTTGAATAAGCATTAGATGACACCCAAACACAATGTGAAACAAACAGATATAGAATGAATATAATCAAAACGTAGGCGACTGCACGCATATTACTCCCATTGTTTCCTGATGATTGTTGCTTTGACTGACTACCAATGGTGGTACTTGTTGGCGTGTCTTGACTAGGATAGTTCACCTAATAATATGAAAGGGTACATACACCGAGATGTGGTATACTTTTCTTAAAACACCAAACGCTCATTATTCATAACAAGAAAATTAGTACTCATTATGTCCATCAGAAAAATACTTCACGCAGAATTAGAATAGTTTATCTTAGAAACAACTTGATACTGAGGATGAGTACAGTACCCATAAAATATTAGTAACAGGTAGTAAATGAGCCAACAATTAATGTTCTCAAATACAGCATGAGATTTGTAACACTCGCGGTTTATTTATTTTTATTTATTTTAACACATAGATATTGGTAAAAGGAGGCACCAAACACACGTGCGCCACACAAATCTCATTCGATATGTGTGAGGGGTGTGATACTGCCTGGGTGCGCAAACCGAAGCAGGTTGTTTTCTTAGGGGGCCACTCCCTTAGCCTTCCACCTGAAGGTCTGATCCACAAGGCAGTGGAGCATCGTCAGGAGATGCGATTCCATGGAAGCCGATGACCAACAATTGGTTCATACGCCATTTGTTCCCGCAGGATACTGGAGCACATATGCACCATTGGTTTGGAATCCGGTTAAAGCGTCGGACATTCGCTTTTCGACCTGTCATTTTTGTAAACAACACCCCCGCCACGAGAAGGCAGTGAGTAGGACTTCCCTGGCAGAGGCTATATAAGCGTGACCATGTGAGAGCATTTCGAGAGGGAGAGCGGACTCTCCCCACTCTCGGCCGTACCAGGGAGTTTGGGGGCATGTATTAGATATGTCTGTTTACCGCCTATTATGATGTGCTGGTTAACGTAAAAGTGGTCTGAGGAACAATTAGAAAAATTAGACAGCATTCGCAAATGATGTCAACAATTATCACCTAAGCCCTGTGCGAAAGTGTAAGCTTTCTGGTTAAGAATCGTAAAGACCCCTAGTGAAATGACAGAGGAGCAGATGTATTCACTTTCTAACCTGCTTAAGATTGGGCACCCGGGCAGTATCACAGCTCACACACAAATCAAGTGCCATGTGTGGCGCATATGTATTCGATGCCCCTTCGTACCAATATTTATGTGTTTAAATAAATGAATAATAAATGAAACTTGATCTAGGGATTGCTGGTTTAAGTGTCAATTTTGAAGGTTTAACTGTTTTATGTATACCATCTTACTGACAAACTCCGCTTGTAGCTCTTCTAGAGTTACTGCCGGTCCCAAGCCCGGGTAAAGGAGGAGGGTTGGGCATGGGGTTAGCGTCCCCATCCCGTAGAAAACTAACTCGCTAAAAAAAACGCTTACCAGAAAAAATAATTCAAACCATTTTAACTCTGCCCTGGGAGTTAGAAGGTCTTCATTTAGAAGAATTATGACGCTTCATGGTGAAAGCCGAGTTCCTTCGGAAGCCACGAGGCCGATGCCCCTTCTAACAACCAGAGCAAAAATTTTTATAGGTACATGGAACGTTCGAACAATGTGGGAAACCGGGAAGACCAGTCAAATAGCAATGGAAATGAGGAGATACAACTTAGCAGTACTGGGAATCAGCGAAACCCACTGGACCCAAGGCTAAATACGGGAGAGATGCTGCTATACTCCGGTCACGAAGAGGAAAATGCTCCACACACTCAGGGAGTCGCTCTTATGCTGTCCAAAGTAGCACGAAATGCACTTGTAGGATGGGAGTCTCACGGATCCAGAATCATCAAAGCATCATTCAAAACAAAGAAGGAGGGGATCTCAATGAATATTATCCAATGTTATGCACCCACCAATGATAGCAACGACGACATTAAAGATCAATTCTACGAGCGGCTGCAGTCAATCATTGAGAAATGCCAAGAAAGGACCTCACTATTCTGATGGGAGATCTAAATGCCAAAGTCGGAATAGACAACACTGGATATGAAGATATTATGGGACGACATGGACTGGGACAGAGAAACGAAAATGGAGAAAGATTTGCAAATCTATGTGCATTCAACAAATTGGTCATAGGAGGCACAATATTTCCACACAAGCGTATACACAAGGCTACATGGATCTCACCGGACCACACTACAGAGAACCAAATAGATCATATTTGCATCAACAAAAAATTCCGAAGGACAATGGAAGATGTGAGAACCAGGAGAGGTGCTGACGTAGCTTCAGATCACCACCTAGTTGTAGCCAATTTAAAACTGAAGCTAAAAAAGAACTGGACAAGTGGACAAACAGCACTACAAAGGTTCAATACAGCCTTCCTTCGAGATACTGACAAACTCAATGAATTCAAGATAGCTCTCAACAACAGGTTCCAAGCCTTACAAGATCTACTGAAGAAGAAGAAACTACTATGGAGGACAACTGGAAAGGCATCAAGGAAGCATTAACTTCAACGTGTCAAGAGGTTCTGGGCCTAAAGAAACACCATCATAAGGAATGGATCTCTATAGAAACACTGGACAAGATCAAAGAAAGGAAGAACAAGAAGGCAGCAATTAACAACAGCCGAACACGAGCAGAGAAAGTCCAAGCACAAGCTGAATACATAGAAGCAAACAAACAAGTGAAGAGGAGCATTAGAGCCGACAAGAAGAAATACGTGGAAGAACTAGCAACGACGGCAGAAAAAGCTGCTAGAGAAGGAAATATGAAACAGCTTTACGATACAACGAAGAAACTAGCAGGGAAATACAGTAAACCAGAGAGGCCGGTCAAAGACAAAGAAGGCAAGCCAATCACCGAAATTCAACAACAGCGTAACAGATGGGTAGAATACTTCGAGGAACTCCTGAATAGGCCGGCTCCAATGAATCCACCGGACATCGAAGCAGCACACATAGATCTTCCTATAGATGTCAACCCACCAACGACGGAAGAAATTAGAATGGCCGTCAGACAAATCAAGAACGGGAAAGCAGCAGGACCCGACAACATACCAGCTGAAGCACTGAAATCAGACATCGAAGCAACCACAAGCATGCTTACCTTCTATTCAAAAAGATTTGGGAGGAGGAACAAGTGCCGATGGACTGGAAAGAAGGACACCTCGTCAAGATTCCAAAGAAAGGAGATCTGAGCAAATGTGAAAACTACAGAGGCATTACACTACTGTCAATACCAGGGAAAGTCTTCAACAGAGTGTTGCTGAACCGGATGAAGGATGCAGTAGACGCCCAACTTCGAGATCAACAAGCTGGATTCCGTAAGGATCGGTCGTGCACAGACCAAATTGCAACACTACGGATCATCGTCGAACAATCAGTTGAGTGGAACTCATCACTATACATCAACTTCATTGATTATGAAAAGGCATTCGACAGTGTAGATAGGAGGACATTATGGAAACTTCTTCGACACTACGGAGTTCCTGAGAAGATTGTCAACATTATCCGGAACTCATACGACGGACTACAGTGCAAAGTAGTGCATGGAGGACAGCTGACAGATGCATTCCAAGTAAGGACTGGAGTCAGACAAGGCTGTTTACTCTCTCCCTTCCTCTTTCTTCTGGTGGTCGACTGGATTATGAAGACCTCGACATCTGAAGGAAAACACGGAATACAATGGACAACTCAGAATCAATTAGACGATTTGGACTTCGCAGATGACCTAGCCCTCCTATCACGTACACACGAACAGATGCAGATGAAGACAGCCAGTGTAGCAGCAGTCTCTGCATCAGTAGGCCTCAGCATACACAAAGGGAAAACCAAGGTCCTCAAATTCAAGGCGGAGAACAGCAATCCAATCACTCTTGATGGCGAAACTCTGGAAGATGTAGAGTCCTTCACATACCTGGGAAGCATCATCGATGAACAAGGAGGTTCAGATGCAGACGTAAAGGCGAGGATCGGCAAAGCAAGGGTCGCATTCCTACAATTGAAGAACATATGGAACTCAAAACAACTTTCAACCAATATCAAAGTGAGAATCTTCAATACGAACGTCAAGGCAGTTCTACTGTATGGAGCTGAAACTTGGAGAACTACAACAACCACCATCAAGAAAGTACAAGTATTTATAAATAGCTGCCTACGCAAGATACTCAACATCCATTGGCCGGATACCATCAGCAATAGCCTTCTGTGGGAGAGAACAAACCAACTTCCAGCTGAAGAAGAAATTAGGAAAAGACGATGGAAATGGATAGGACATACATTACGCAAATCGTCAAACTGCATCACGAGGCAAGCCCTAACTTGGAATCCTGAAGGGAAGCGGAAAAGAGGAAGGCCAAAGAACACATTACGTCGGGAAATAGAATCAGATATGAAAAGGATGAATAGCAACTGGAAAGAGCTGGAAAGGATTGTCCAGGACAGGGTTGGATGAGCGGCCTATGCTCCTTCACGAGGAGTAACAGGAGTAAATAAGTAAGTAAGAGTAATCTTACTGACAACAAGAAGTCTTAGTATAAAACACTGTAAGATTACTGGTGGACATTGCCCGAATAAACGCCAAAACAATCCTAATGGTTAAGAAGACTTCTTTGAATATAAGACTTGATGATTATTTACTTTATTCCCAATAATTTTGATTGTCCTTTTTCTGTTTTATCTAGACTGGTTTATTGAACATGCCCATATATTTAAAAAATGAGCATATTCAATGAACCAGTCTAGATAAAACAGAAAAAGGACAATTAAATAGCCCCCAAACGCCCTAGTACGACCGAGAGTGGGAAGATTCAGCTCTCCCTCTCCAAATGCTCACACATAGCCACATGCATACGGCCACTGACAGGGAGTCCTACTCACTGTATTCTCATGGCGCGGGTGTTGTTTATGAGATTGATAGGATGAAAAGCCAATGTCCGGCGCTTTGACCGGATTGGTGAATATGAAGGATCCACCTGGGGGAGTTAGAAAACCCTCATTCCAAACCAATGGTGAATATGGGCTCCGGGATCCTAAGGAAACAAATTACGTATGAACATATTATTGGTCACCGGCTACCATGTGACTACTTCTAACGCCGCTCCACTGCATTGTGGATTAGACCTCCAGATCGAAGGCTCTAGGTATGGCTCCCTAAGGAAACCACCTGTTTCGTTTGGGCGCCCAGACAGCATCCAAGCCCTAACACAAATCGAATGATTTATTTGGCGCATATCTGTTTGGTACCTCCCTGTACCAACGTTTGTGTGTTTCAATAAATAAATAAATAAAATTGTTTAAATAAATGGAAGTCAATAAAGATATGTATATTATTACACTGAAAATATTTTTATTGATTCCTTAAATTACCTTTTTATTTGCCTTGTTCGGTTTATCATACAAACGTTTATCAACAGAATTCTGTTCATTATTAGATTGATTTGTCGCAACATTAATTTCATTATCTTGTTCATTTAAGAATAATTCAAAGACACGTGAAAATGCAATAGCAGAAAACACACATACAATTGGTGTTAATGTAAGCATAAGACGAACCATAACACCAGCAAAATATGATGCAAATATTGCATAGAGAATAACAAAAACACGTTCATCATTTAAATTGTTAAAGCAAAGTCTAACACCAGCTGGAAATGTAGCAATTAATACATGAAGATCAAAAAAGAAAGATGCCCATGAAGTTGGTTGATGCTCAGAAACGGATGTTATAATTGGAATATGTATCTTAGCATAACCAGTATCCCATAGAGAATAAAACCTGAATAATTTAAATAAGAATTAAAATCGATGATAATTTTTTTTGAGATTTCTGTTTAAAGTTAACAGCAGTTGAATAAATACTGAAAAACCAAATGTTATCAAACAATATTTCACTACAATTTATGACTATGGAAACACCGAGTTAAGAAATTTCATATAGTTATGTTGGGTATTTTACAGCTCAGGAGCGTGTATATAATAAACCTACAAATATCCTGCCTAACGGTGTGGAAATTTAGTTCTCCATCAAGAAATCCCTTTACAATCCCATGCATTTATAGCTCGTGCAGAAGATGCCCTTCTTACTGCTTTCACGTTGAGACTTATTTGTAAGATGATAAATGTTACTACCTGCCACCCCTAAATGCCCTGGTACGACCGAGAGCGGAGAGAGTCACCTCTCCCTCTCGAAATGCTCTCATATGGCCACGCGTATACAGTCACTGTCAGAGAAGTCCTACTCATTACCTTTACGCGTGTGGGTGTTGTTTACGAAATTGAGAAGACGAAAAGTGAACGTTCAGCCCTTTAACCAGTTTAATGAATACGGAGGAACCACCTAGAGGAGTTGGAAAACTCTGATTCCAATGGTCCACATGGGCTCCAGGATCCTGAGGGAACAAATGCCTTGTGAACCTATTGTTGGTCACCGGCTACCATAAGACTGTATCTCCTAACGTTGCTCCACTGCGTTGTGGACTAGACCTTAAGGTTAAAGGCTCGGGGTGTGGCCCCCTAAAAAACCGCCTGCTTTGGTTTGGTTGCCCAGGTAGCATCCAAGCCCTCACACAAATCATATCTGTGTAGCGCATATCTGTTTGGTGTCTCCTTGTACCAATGCTTATGTGTGTAAAGTCAGTCAGTCAGTAACAACGTATAAATTTGTACGTACGTACATCAGTTCGAGTAAAGAAAAATAATAATTTCTTTGTTATTACCTGCCACTCCATGGTGCAATAACACCAGCATATGTTAGCCCAACTACAACAACAAATATAACTCCAGCAGAAAAAATGGCACCAAATGTAAATAATTGCTTCAGCGTATCAGAGGGAACACGGGTTTGTAGATATTTGAAAAAAGCAACAACCTGCAAATAAAGACAAGATATTTTGACCAAAATATTAGATAAGATGATTAAAATTGCTTAACACATCATCACCATACTTGAGAATGTAGCGTCACTTCTAACCAACTAATAATATACCTCTACATCGCTGTCCACCTTATATATACAAGATAAACTTCAGGATTGGTATACATTGGGATCAGATACACCAACTACCTGAAAACGTAAAACTGTCTTGTTTCTCAAGCCGAAATTCAGTGTTTATATATCTATATCTAGATCAAAACCAGAAAATAACCGCATATGACCAACAAATGCACCTGGGTTAGCAGGACGAAAAATTATATATTATTCACTAAGTATACGTTAAGATACTCGTCTTTGAGTCACATTGTGAGGAATAGAAGTACTACCTGGTTGCCCGAACCAAAGTAGACATTCGGAGTTTAAAACTGAGACCTAGTAGATGAAAATCAAGCGCAAAGCGTTAGACAAGAAAGACAGTCCATACATTGGTTTTAATATGGATTAACTGAGACTAATAGGTTATTTATTTTAAATATTGGGCTGAAATCTGCCTTTAATTTTCATCGCTGACTTGAGTAGTAGTGAATTAGTAACCAGACAACTGTATAAATTTATGAAGCCACTGGACATTAATCTGGGTTATGTAAGGTTTTGGCTCCAGTTTCTCCCTGCAAATAGATTATAATTTTTGAGATGCATTTTCTTTTAATCTTAAAATCTACATTTTTTCTGTCAAGTTACGTCTTTTTCATCTTGTTCTGATAATTTTTAACTTCCGTTCTTCAGCGCAAGAGTTCACTAGCTTGAAAATATGAATATGTGGCGTTTCACTTGACGTCTAAGTAATAGTTATAGAAATTACTGAGTTTCCAAGATAACACCACGAGAGTAAAGTGGTTCTTATTATATTCAAACATACGTTGCTGGTCCTGAGGATCTGTTACGATTTTGCCATCGAATGTGAGCCAATATATGAACACAGTTATCGAGCCTTTAGTTCGAGTAGTGAAGTCACTGCAGATTGATTAAAGCACTACTTTCAACAACTAGTTTTCAGATTTATAACGTTATCTATTCTGGTTTCTGTAACCTAACAGTACCATCACCCTCGACACAAAGTGTAGTTTAAGGCTGAATGCAGAAAGCTTGACCTATCTAGTGTTTCATTGCTTCCATTACTCAGCTTGAATTTAAGTTTTACTAGACAGTGAAACAGCTTACAGTAAGGCATTATATATCTACAGCACTATATCTTACAATGACACCAAAGGTAAACAATATCCGCATGCTTCACTCTGGTTTTCGCTTCATGAAGATTGATCTTGTCTATTACAATCTTTTACACAACTACCAAGATGTGAACATCCCATCTACTTCAAACACCATATCAATAAGGGTGTGCATGTAGAAGTTCCTGGCAACCTGTCAGAGTACCCTACACTTAGCTCAAATAATACACCATACTGACGAACGGTGATTATATACTATTTGAGCAGCTTTTACGCCGTTGCACAGTAAAACGATATATACACCATACTCGAAAAGGAAAACTTTGTCATGCAACAGATATCTACCATCATTCATTAACTTCAGATTTCTCTGGTACCATTGATCATAAAAGGTAGAACCGTCAAGTAACGTTGAGCTTAAGTACTATCTTAAAATATTACATTACTTGGTGAGTCCGAGTGTTTATCAACCAATGTGGCCGGGATGCATTCGACATTCCCCATGTTTAGTTACCTCATAGCATTCAGATCTTTGTTTTCATCCTCCAACCTATTAATTTCTTCGTGTTGTGAAGTATGGAGAAGTGGGATGGTGATAATTTCAAAGAGCTATGACTAACCCGACTGTTGCTTTAAAACAATTGAGTTGAAATAAGAAATTAAATTATCGAAATCACATATGACGACTTTTAAACAACTGGTAAGGAATGAAAATGTCTACGATCTAAATCTACTATCTAAACGAAATATGGTTAGCTTAATAATAGTTTGTTGCACGATCTGTAAAAATAGAGCATTACAAAGCCCAACCAGCTTGTTCTTGAATCAGCTAGTCGACTGTTGATAGTATCAAGAATTGGTCATTTCCTACAACTAAAGTCTTGACCTTCAACCAAGTTTCCCGAACTAATTCAACAAAGGCGAATGGTATTATTACTAAGGTTTGACATGGTAATTTCGAATAAATTGAGGACTGGGTAGATTGGTAATAATAGAAACAATAATGGGTTTGTAAAATCCCAATGAATAGACAATCGGATTTATGACTTTACGAAGCTTGATGTAAGCTACTTCATGAGAGAATGAAGAAATGAGTTAAATTAACAGAATCTTAAATAGTACGGAGGAAACAAAACAGAATATTTTAAGTACGATCAAAACCAAAATAAATCAGATTATGTTAACGTTATGTCGTTTCACTCGAGGTAATTCTGTATAGGACCTACTTATGTTTATTTGTATGCTAGTGAGAGTGGAAAATGTGATATATATAATGTGGAAGAGTATGGTTAAGAATATTCCAATGTTTGTTAGTGGTGTGAGATTTGGACATAATTAAATGGGTGGATATTTGAATAAATCATGTTGGATCGTCACCAATAGTCAGAAATTCAATTTTCTACTCATTGAGATTTTGCACATATACTATTATTTCTATTATTAGACGCAAGTAGGTTTTACACTTCCGTAAGTACTGAAACTAATTAGGTACTGGAATAGAACAACCACAAGAAACCTGATCCACGTAATATAGTGCCGTAATGCCGTATGGTTACCAAGTTCGACTGTGATATAATGATTATCTTGCTGAATAATGATACAAAGATTATCAAAATTACACTTAATCAACTTGGCTACTACTGTTTGCAACTACGCTATGCATTTCTACTCTCCGAATTCCAATTACTTCTGCAAGATAGGAGTCTGTACCTCTGCTCTCCTTTTGTGCCAATTCGTGAATTCCAGTACTTATGTGTGTGAATGTAGTGTGACAGATGACGGCTATGTACATATAGTGAAACCCAAGGTGGTTTACGCAGATCTGAACTATATCCGACCCTGTCGTGAATCAGGCCAAGTATATAACGAGTTGGCAAGAGCAGTGTACAGCGCTTTAACCGGGTTGGTGGAATAGGAGGTCCACCTAGAGGAGTTTCAAAACCCTGATTCCAAGCAAATGGTGTACATGGGCTCCAGAATCCTGAGGGAACAAGTGACGTATGAACCTATTATTGGTCATCGGCTACCATGTGACTTCATCTCCTAGCGTCGCTCCACTGCATTGTGGATTAGACCTTCAGATTGAAGGCTCTGGGTGTGGCCCCCTAAGAAAACCACCTGTTTCGGTTTGGGCACCCGAGCAGTATCACAATCCACACACAAATCAAGTGACTTGTGTGGCGCATATATATTCGGTGCCCTTTTATACCAATATGTGTTCAAATAAATAAGCAAATAAAATTATGTTTAGGCTCAGTGAAAACAATTTAATAGACATTACCGAATTGAAAAACCAGCCTTAGTGATTTAATCACGCTTTACCGACATCAGGCCAGTTGCTCTTACACTATGCACTATTTCCAGATATTGGGACTGGGTAAGAAAGATGGAAAAGTGGTCAGTCTACGATGTAGCTCTATGGCATGGGAGATAGCTGTATAAAACTTTTATATGTCAATCCACCGCAACTCTCTAGTCGGGGTCCTGAAGATAATGCAACTCTGTAGCTTGGAATGTTATTAAATATGGCTAAGAACAGAATCCAATGGAAATTCTACTGTAGATTTATACTCTTCACAATGGTGAAAAGAGCTTTCTTAATCGAAAGAAGTCTGTCTTGGCTGCAGTTTAAACCAAACTATACATTTCATTGTCAGATTTCCATCCTCTATATGATCGATTGAACCACAATTTTCTGACTAACATTCTTTTCACTTGTGTGGTGCATGTTCTTTGCGGTGTCAAGTACCAAAGCTGGTGTTTTCAAAAGATAAGTAATGCATTACACTACACCAACCAAGACTTTCATAGATGGAAAATCAGCTTGTAAACTCGGAATTCTTTTCTTTTGTCGATATAAGACACGACAACGCTGATCTAATATTTCATTAGAAACAAGGGTTGGTTTAACAAATGTAGCTGAGATTTTTAAACCAAAATAGAACACTTTAGAATTATGTACTTACTTGAAGAAGTGCGAACACTCCTATTGATGCCATATGTTCACTAGTGCGTAGTGGTTGAAAACCAACAAATGGTATTTGCATCGACATTATTAAACCCAAGATGAAGAAGGTTGTGTAAGCCACGTACAGTTTCGCGCTATATCTCTGCATGATTAGTAGTACAAAAATGTGTAATGGAATGAGGTTTATAATGAACACATAACCACCCCAAGCAGATACCATGTAAAAATATGCAACAGCACAAAACGCGGCCCAAAGAACTTTTCCTGTTTTGACAGCTTTAATCCACAAGTAGTACGTAAACATCAGTGCGAAAATTGCGATTCCCTCATTATCATAACTGCCGGCGGTTGAACGACTTATATATCCGGGAGCTAATGAAAAGTGGAATAATTATATAAAACATCGATTACCGATGGCGATGAAGCAAGCAGCAAACAAACCCGCTCCTTCATTCCATATTTCCTTCGTGAAAAAATAAGTCGCAATGGCAGTCATGCCACTGAATACAGGGGCGAGGAAAACACAAACTTCACGAATGTGAACCGGAAAACTCAAAAGGTGACACATGTAGTGAATAAAACCTAAAGTTCGATGGTAAATCCCAATACTGAACAAACCTGAAGTAACCATTAAACCAGGATAGACAGTGCCTCCAACAATCCTCCCAAGTGGGTACCACGCAGTGCTGTCAAACCAATTGTAAAAGTTCTCGAAACTATTTTCGACCATCTGCTTGGTGGCTCGGTAATTAAACCAAGGATCGAACTCATGGATGACACTTTCAAAACGTATAACTGAGAAAAGACGTATAGTAAATCCAACAACCCATGCCAGAAGCAGTATACAGAATGTTACAAGCCCCGTACGCCCGTTAGCTGAGACCCCAGAAAACCCATCAACAGCAAGACCAAGCATTTATGACGAACTCGTAAGTCGCGGGTTGACGCGAACCTTCAAGAGGTGACACGTATGAGACAACTCATTTCTGCTCAAACCTCAATCCGCAGTTAACAAAATTTCCGAAACAAATATTTTCCCATTAATTGTAGATGATATTTAGATGGACATAACAAGCATACAAACTTTTTGTCTAGTTGTGATCGTACGAGGGACCTGGAAGAATAAACAGTCGTGAATGGAATTACAAACCATCAAACTTTATAATGTACAGTAACACTGGCAACACGATAAGATAGAAACGACTGATTTGACCATTCTATTGATTAGGTAGATGCAGTCAACTGAAAGTTAGTTGATCTGATCATTTATACGCCTTTCAGTGGGAGATTAACTGATCGATCTGCTCACCACAGCACAAAGAGACCAATGGTTTCTACATGTGCTGTTCGTCACATGAAAACACATACATCCTTAATGTTGACTGTTCAACAATGTAAATAGTCCACAAGAGCAATTGTTTAGGATCCTTAATGATTGTCACTAAAGTATATTCACTCAGCCACTGTACTATACACGTTATGATGGGCAGTTATAAAACTCGTGATGCATAAGTGATCCATCTGAAAACATGCTGTTGGATGTGAAGAAATCTATAGATATTAAGCAAATATGTAAAGGGCTTTGGAATGAAGATTAGATAATCTTTCAGGGCACTGGAAAAAGAGACATCAACTGTCAGTTTAAAGTCAGTCAGTCAAGAGCTTCACACCATCACCCACGTCTTTTTTTGAATATCCGGAACCCAAAAACAAGGTGTTAGCTCTGTGATATCTAAAAGACGTCACACCACAAAATCAGCATTACGAGCGAGACACACGCCTTGGAAGAAATTACCTGCCGATGAATTTCTTGAATTATTTACTGTACGGCCTCACTTACTTTTAGCAGGGCTATAATCAGAATAGCTCATTATTCATACAGTCATCAATCACAATCTCTTTGTAAATTGTAAATTTATACAGTTATTGCGAAAACGATAAACAAACACATATTGAATAAAAGCTGGGACACAACAAAATGAATCACTGACAAGGGTTAGTGATCCGTATACAACTGGTGCAACTTCACTATCGGTAGTTCGATAAAAAGGATCGATTTATTAGACGGTCTGGGATCAAATGAGTCTGAATTGTCTGACGTCTGACTTAAAAACTATTATTTGGTTTTTACCGTCATATATTAAGGTTAACAATATGTGTCAATTAGCATAGGTGGGCATCAGCACTTCAATGAGTCTTGGTACTAATACGTCTAACATGTCTTTCTATCCGTTACTATAACTTATTACACTTCAGCTGTGACACCAGTAAGAATGAGCGAATCGTGAGTAAACACTTTACTTTAAGATTAGTTTATGTACAGAAAACACGGGTATTTATAGATCTAACTTGGGTTTTAGCAATTTCTGGAAGCAGGTTACTGCAAAGCTTCTATTCAGCAATGATCTGATAAAATATTCTGTAACTCTCAGGATTTTGAAGACTACGTCAAAGGACATTTTGGACACCTTCAACATGCTTGTCTTCCCTCAGTGTATTCGTGCAAAAGTTTCTTTTTGTTACAGTACCAATATGCGGCACCACCTCTGATTCCTCAAAAAAGTATTGTCACGACTGAAATTTCAGCATTTTTTCTGAACGTAAACCTAATGATCTATAGTTTGTACAATCAGACTGGGCTACTTCCTTTTGTATAGCATATAAAGCTATTTTTGAGTCACTTGTAAGAAGAGATATCAAAACACAGACACGTTACTAACGGACTCAAGGTAATGAGTAATTATCACTTTCCACCTTTATGGTACTGGTGAAAGTCACAGACAGTGATCTCAGTCGACCCACGTTTTTTAAATCTATGGCTCAAACGAGCTTTGTAATAATAATAATAAAATATTTCTGCATGAGCAGGTACAGGCCATTTTTACAGACATCATCTATAAATTACAACATTTGTTGGCGCACAGCATGCTTCCCAACTTCTTAGGTGTATAGTTGTCACAAAGTAAACTCGTAGAGCGCTTGGTGTAGATCATGACCTTGAGGAGACGCGTACGTCAAGTTTGTTCCAGACTTCGGAAGTTCCACAGCTGTGCTTTCAGGGCAAGATGCTGAAGAAAGAAAAGAGAGAAACAGAAGAACAGCAAGGCAATTCGATATGAACGCCAATGATGATCAGATCCTTGTAAGCTAAAAGTGGCCATGTAACGCTCTAAAAACATTCTGTTGTTATTGTCTCGAAGGCTGCAATGGAGATCCGATTAGTCCTTTAGTTTGGTGATAACTAGAGAGTTATCACGGACCTTGATCCGCCCTGAATCTAAAAATTGAACTCGCCGTTTTATTCTGAATAATCACTTTTCATCTGTCTTAAAGAATGCAAAACGCCATAAAGCCTAAGTAGACAAACAGTAAGGGAAAAGAGAAGATGGATAACCTGTTCGACCACGACCAAGGGACGAAGCTAGGGAAAGTAAAAACCAACTGCAAACCATATGTTGACGGTTTCTCTTTTTCTCGTACTTAGTGGACTGAAAAATGGTTGCTTGTGCGCAGGTTTTTAACGCACAAGATATATTGTTCCCAACGAAAATTCTCGGAAAAAGTACATATACCTGATTGGAAATCAGTCATTCAGCTCACTGTTGGTGTAGCGAAGCCAAATGTTCAAGTGGCACATTGACCGAGGTATGATGCTCCGAAAAATCATCACAAAACCAAAGAAAACCAAAGAAATTACAAGTGAACCCAAAAAATAAAACTCAAACGTTTTCCACCACAGCACTTTAGTCTGATGTGTCCGTTGACTATCGCTGTTGCATGTGGCCTACAAATGGACGAACGTTATTACCATATTATACTGATATAACTCACGACTTTTGTTCATTTCGATAGGACACGCAATACCGGCTGGCATGTTGGTAAGTTTCGTTTAATGACTACAATTCCTTTAGTTACTGTACTAGTCTAATTGTGTTTACGTTTAGAAACAGATAAAGTCTAAAGACAAGTTGTCCTTGCTTTGGCTATAGCTTTTACATGGACTATGTGGTCGCCAGTATCGCGTTTACAGTTCTAGTAGAATATCTGTAGGACAAATTAAATCCCACAATATGAACCAATAGTTTAGGTCATAAGTCAGTAAACTAGAAGTGTTTCCATTATTGATTTCGGCCAATGCTTTAATGTCGTTGCAACAACCCTATTGAATAGCCTTTGTAATAGCTGGACAACTATGCACAATCCATTTTTCTCCGTTGCTACGTTTGATTACTTAAAAGAATATAATGTGGGACATTTATGGTGAGCCAAAATACATATATACGAAAATAATAACAATGCTTGTGAAGGTGTAGGTAAATATAATGAGTTCAACATTGAGAACAAAGTGTGAAAAATTTCACAGAATGATACTTGTTAGCTGTAAATTTCTGGACGTTTGTAGGGTTCAGAATAATTCCATGAGTTAGGGTATAAGGAAATTCAGGACCATATTACCTATTCACTTGAATCTTGTGATAGTGACTCGAACCAAATTATCCATGAGTTATCGGAAAAAGTATGTGCATCGTGTAAGTTAGGGACTTAGTAGAGCAGCGAAAAGATTTCAAGGAAGAAGCATGTACATTTCTTCGTACCATAGTCGGTACGACATGCATATTTGTATATGAACTCTCCGAACGATGTTTCACAGTCATGATGGGAGTTGTACGAACTGAAAGATAGGAATACCAACAAAAGTTGTTCAGAAATTAGGTTTAAATAATTTATCTTGACATAGTTTCTTTCTTGAGTGTTCGGAGGGAACACTGACCGCAAAAGAAGGAAAAACAAACAACGTGAAATAACTATGACATTTCACGAAAGCTAGCAGAAAAAAGACAAATGTGTAAAATGGTTTATTATTGCACAGAGCTACTGTCCACAGATGTCTGAAAATGAGGTGAAAGGAAAACATGATAACACTCATTTGAAAATAGAACATGAATAGTGTTCTTGTTTTAAGATTTACATGTAGCCTACCAATGTAGGTGATTTACGTTTATGGTCGCGATGTAACTGAATTAAGTGAGAATGGTGTGATGTGATATTCATACTAACTGATGATTTCCTTGTGCTTCTTTCCGTAATTAATTTGAATTCCATATATAATACCTTCGTCCGTAACCATATAGTTCTATTCGTACAAAATTGTATCATTTTCATTATTTTTAGTTAGCCCATCGATTCGGTTTCCAATTATCATATTGGCGTCAGATGAAGAGAGAATCTTGAACAGTTGGATGTTGTTTCAAGTGTCGGTGTTTCAGAAGACTAAAGTGAGTGGTTTGGAATCTAGTGCACAACTTGTAGAGGTTTTAGGGAGGATAAGTTTTGAATTTTTCAACTTTCCCAGAGAGACCAATTTCACTGCCATATGAATCTTTCGTTGAATTACTACTTCGTCATGTACAGCTTGCTGTTGTGACGGACGGTGTCCAAAATCCTATACTGGTACATGATGTGCAACGAGAGAGATTGAATAAAGTGCACAGATACCCATAAATATATATCCAACTATCTTCTAGGAAATTAATGCATTTCTTAGTCAATAAAATACGTGTCCTTTGATCACTTCTGATTATCATCGGTTGACATTCTTATTAAACCACTTTTGGCTGGTTTAACATATCACTTTTCCCTCCAGAAAAATACGTCTTACTCCTTGGATTTAACTGAAGGCACTTTGGAAAACGTCATCTTCTTGATGGCCTTCTTGAGGTCTGGCTATCAGTTCTCCAGGGCTGATATTGTCACATCCAGACTGACCACATCAGCTGATTAATTTAGTGGCAAGTTTGGGCTAGGGAATTCTTTATTCGAATTGGTTCGTGTATCGCGTATTGTGTTTACATGTCCCATCTAGCACTTATGTCGAACGTCACCTTTATCCATCATTTCATCTGCTCTTCTTACGATGATGCTATCCATTCACGCCTTCACTGACAAAAGTTTCTTGCGTACAC